CCGTAGGGTCCACCTACGCAAGAAGAAGGTGTTCGAGAGACCATACTCGTTATGACGTCTGGATCAAGTGCAGATACATCCAAGACCCTCGGTGGTGAAGTGGCGATGCTGCTGCAGAATCCACAGCGAATGATTCGTGACACTTTCCGTTGACAGTGTTACTACCGAGGATGACAAAGCAAAACCCTGATCTTCAGGGCCATCGCAGTTATCCACCAGGAGAGCCAAGAACGACTACCTCTCGTCCATCCTCAGACACACCGAGATCGAAGGGTGCTATCCCGAGAAAACCGTCAAATTCCGTGATGCAGTGTTTGCAAGGCACGGTCAAGGACAAGAACAGGGAAACAAAGGGTCCTGAACACAGGAGATCGAAATCACCGAGAAATTCATCTCGAAGGGCACAGACACCTTTAAGAATAGCGGACAGAGAATCACCGTCTACGTTGGCCGAGTCGCATTCCTCGCCACCGGCGGGTATGCCAAGTCCATCACCGGACGAAAATGAACCTATGCTACAGTTAGACGATGCAAGGCGTGCCCTCCATATTGAGGACGGCACATCTGTTGACTTACCTGCCCTGCAAATTATTGCTCAGAGGCTGGAAGCAATTGAAGCACAAGCTCAGATGCATCGTGAAGCTGAGTTACGGCGTTATCGATCCTTGACAGAAACATTTTCTGCAAAGTTGGAGGAGGCAAATCATGAAGACTATGGTGCAACGATTCGGATTCGTGAACTTGATCGACAAAAGTTGATGCTGCAGATGGGCATGGCACACGATTCAAGTTTATCAGGACATGCGACAGAAATATCGGCGAGCATTGATGGAGGTGCAGGAAAGGGGCCAAGGCCAGCATCTTTGGCAGGAATTGAGTCAGAGTCAACAAAGATGTCCACGATCATGAGATCAACGAGTCTCTTTCAGCTCAACTCGGACAACTTCGCAGTGAAGCAGCACACAGCCTCGTACTTCTGGAAGAAAAGGTGCTAGGTGATGGCTTGCACATCGCCCGCGAGTATGAGAAGCTCACAAGCGAATTGAATGAGAAGGCTCCTCAGATCCTAGCTTCGTCTGACGAGAACGCCATCTTCCAGATGCGCATGCAACTGGAACAGGCACATCAAAGTGGCAACGATGCTCTTCACGGTTCCTACAAGGAAGTCAATCAGAAATCCGCAGACTACGCAGCTCTCACGAGTTTGAGGGAACAATTGCATAAGGAAGAGCAAGCACGTTTGAACATGGAACACAAGCTACGCATCGCAAAAGGAGAGCGTCAAATGCAACTCTGGCGTCGTCAACCTTTTCCTGCCGTGCATTCGGAGATGTTGGAACTTCGGCATCGCCTGAAAGCGACTGAAGAGATGTACACGAGAACCAGGAGCGAGCTCGAGACGTCTCAGAACACGTTACCTCAATGTCTTGTTGCACAAGCGTCAAGCCTACCGTTGTCGAAGATGTCTGACGCGGATTGGGTGCGTAGAACAGGGTAGGAGTGCAAGTGATGTGCGATCCCCTGAAATTGGTAATTACACCTTGTCAGAGAAATCCTGTTAATCGAGATAAGGTAGCTTCCGAACAAGCATGGCAATGACGTCCTCATTACCGGGAGTGAAGGTAGCGGCGTCTCGATCGTTACAACAGGAAGAGCGGCTTCGTGAAGAAGGAAGAAGAGCAAAGGATGCTCAACTTCGGGAACTTCTCCAAGTTCGCAACATGCTTCAACCATCTTCAAGCTCGTCCAACTCCCAGCACGACAAGGGCATTGATGACGCAAACAGTTTGAGCAAGAGATTGCCACTGGCAGCTCTCGATAGAAAGGACAACTTGAATTTGCCACGGGCAACTCAAGCAGACACCCAGATCGAGAACGGTTATATTTCTCAGATGATCGAGATGAAAGTTCAACTCAAGCCAGCAGAAGAGAAAGAACGCCAAGCTCGAGAAAATGAACAGCGACTTCGCGATGAACGGGACGAATGGCGCGTCACGGCCGAACACTACTAAAAACTCCAACATGCGGTGGTAATTCGCCTTAAGACGACACGGACGTGATGGCGGCAGTCCTTCCAAGCGAGATTGGGATTATGGGGGAGATGATCCTCCTGAACCACCTGATGATCCTGACGGTGGGGACGATCCTGAGATCACCGAAGTGAAGATTTCACGAAGAGAGGCAGACAAAGTCGTCGTACCTCCATTTCCGAAGTGGCTCACTATTTCCGAAGGTGGCTCACGTGGGCAATTGGAAATCCGTGTGCATCACGAATGTGCTGAGCGCTTCTGCTGACCCTAACCAGGGAGATTGGATACGGTGGCTCGCCCCAGTTTTCTCAACGCAACCAGACATTGATGCGCTGAATGATTCCGGACACTTAAATTTCAACAGCATTGACGTGAAACTTGCTTCATCCATGACATCGATGCTGAAAAGTACAGGTGAACAAGCTCAGGACCTGTTGCTTGAAGTGAACCGGAATGCGAATCAATATGTCCGGGAAGCTAGAACGATCATAAAAGAGTGCCAAATCATCGCGATGATGTACAAAAGCTTTCGCACACGCGATCGTTTGGACATGATTGTCACATGGATTACCTCATCAACGTGTCTTACACGGGTGACAATAAGCTCAATGTGTTCAAGAACACGTGGCTGGAAATCATCACTCGGATGCGACCAGAAGATGTTCCTTCCAATAATGCGCTTCGTGACACGTTGTACAACAAGATCAAGGACTCTCCGGCCCTCAAGATGGAGTTTTTCGTACATTATCACATGTTGAGCTATGACGATCCAAAACGAACCTATCAGCACTTTCTCAACATCATGGATCGAATCATCATGAGGGAAAGAGAGAAGCGCAACCGGGCTCAGACCAAGTCTGGACTCCGTCAGATTGTCGAAGGCAAAGATATGCTTGCAGCACCAGCCAGGCCCGCTAACAACAACAAAGAACGCTACTCCAAGTGCCAAGAAGGGAGCCAAGGCGAAGGACAAGGACAAGACCGAGGAGGCTGCTCCTGTGTTGCTTCAGAGCAAGGCCAAAGCTCATGCAAAGGCTAAACTCAAGGGGCAGAAGCCAAAGGACCGATCGCGATCAGCTGATGCCCAGGGCAACGACAAGAGCAAGAAACATGTTCCATGCAGATTACCTGCTACTACTACTACTACTAC